GGCAGTACTGGCGAGAGTTGCATTAATGCGGAAATCAGCAGTTAGGAGTGGTCCTATTAGCCTGGTTCTGTGCCTTTTCCCATTGTTTTTTCTTCATCCCGGTCATACTGACCACCTCTACCTTAACTCTAATGGGCTATCGCCTAATCGTAAACTCCGCCTTCAAGAATATTGCCCCGTCCTTAGAGGTTTACTTCGTCTTTGAGATAAACCTTTGGAAGACTGTCACACATGTGGCGCTCCTGTGTGTGGAAATCGCCCTACACGGGCGCTGGTTCACTGTACCGTACGCCAGAATTCACGTGGGCACTTTTTTGCACCCTATATCTTGTTAATAGGGCGCTTTCTGCCGCAAAAGCTGCTGTGTATCGTCTAATTGCGCCTTCCTCTATCTTGCCCACCACCATCTTTCGCTTTCGGGAATCAGTTTTATCGCAAAATTTGCCTTTGAAGCGACAATTTCCTATCTTCTAAAGCTTTAAAACAGTTTTCGTGAGCGGTGGATGAGATCGCTCTGCGAGGAATGCTGACCGAAATTTTGCCCTTTTTGACTGGTACGATTCGACGAAGTCAAACCAAGTACTAAATTTAAGAAATCCGAACATGTCCACGACCTGCGAAGACCATGCTCAACGCCATCACTGGAAAGCCACTTGTGTGCCAGGTAACATATTGCAGCCATGATACAGGTGGTGGAAACTGGACAAAAATGTTCGCGATTCAGTTCAAATTCGGACGAGTTATGCCATGCCCCGATGAAGGGTATTGCGAAACGAAGACTGGTTACTGCTGCAAGACTGAGGATGCCGTCGCAACAACACCATCCTCAGGTAAGTACTAGGCAGAATATTGGCCTCGAAGGTGCAATTGCCTATTATCATCTGCAGTGATTGGAAGGCCGCCACCCGTTCCGGTAAGAACTCGTCCCTGGCGCGGCCAGACATGCGTCGTGCAAGAAGGATGCGACGGTGGTGCAGCGTGCATATGCGATAACGGCAACAGGTGCCGGTGCGAGTGTCCGACAGAGCTCGGCTACACTATAGCCGCTGATGGAAAATCATGCCAAAGAGTGAGAAGACGACTCAAGGTTAGTAAAAACTTAAAGGTTTCACTGACCTCTGCCGAAAGGAAGACTTGCACCTATTCAAGACTAACTGAAAACAAGTCACAATTCCTTTGAAAGCTGATTTGCGTTATTTTGATTTGCGCATTGATGCGGCTCTCATCGCTGTGCCCTCTTCAACACTACGCTCTCTCTGCTATCTAATCACTCGCCACGTATAGACCTGCGGCGAGTGATTAGATAGTCGGTGGGCGTACCCCGCCAACCGCGCCAAGGTAAG